AATGACGACACACACACACACGCTGCAAACTGAAATCATTTGGCAAATGTTTTAATCTTGCTTGAACCTCAGTATTTATGTAGAACATTTAACAATAACACTTTGAAAGGCACATAAAGATAAATAAAGAGATGTTTCAACTGGGTTTACAATGTTGCCAAAAAGGTGTATAATTGTTTGAAACCCAGAAAAATAAACGTGAGGAATTAAATTTTGTGGTTTTTACAACCAAGTTAGGCTTATAATATATTGAATATCCTGGCGTGTGAACTTATAGCATGAAGCCAGTGTCGCAGGAACTGGGGAAGTAAGGGAAGCCACCGCTTTCCCTATATTTGTGTAGAGGGAGCAAGTAGTAGTGGTAGCGGTTACAACGATTGATTGTTTGTAGTTAAGCACAAAGGGCTATCTGTGCTCTGCCCACCACGGGTATCGAAATCCGGTTTCTAGCGTTGTAAGTCGGCAGACATACCGCTGTGCCACTAGGGGGGTTACAACGAGATACTAGAATTCCTATGTGGACCAACACATGAACGAAATTTCCATTAATCAAACTTTTAACTATATTATAAAGTCTCACTATTTTGTCGATATGGCTCAGTAACAAAGTCTTTTAAATGTAAGTGATATCTGGCAATTTCAGGTTTGTTGGAAGTCATTCCCCCTGGCGAAAAGAAGTTCATACTCCACTCTATAAAAATGTCATTTGAGTGTGTAATATTATCCAAGAAGTATCAGATATCACTGGAAAACATACAAATATAAATTTTGCAGCAAACAAAATTACGTTGAAAAAGTATAGTGTTACTTTTCACGAAATAATTAATCAATTATCATAAAAGACACAGATAAATACACACGAATATGTATGTATATATATATATAAAGTTTAAAATGTCTAAATAAATGTTAGTTACAACATAAACAATTTTTATTCATACTCCTTTCAGGGGTTATTAGCATTACAAAATTCAAAAATATGTATTCAACTTAGATGTGTAAGTTATACGAAAGGATAATTAAGGCTTAAAATACACATAAATAGGTTAAAGATACACGTAATTTTGGTCTCTAATATTTTTCAATCACGTGGGTAAAATGTTGGTTTATTAAAGGTTTTTATTGTCTTTGTCACACGTTTAATATCAGAAAAACAGATAAATAATTCAAAGCATTTATGAAACTATATAATTCCGAGAACGTTTTAGTGACAAGAAGGAGGTCATTTTATAATGTAATCAATTACGCTGCGTCTGCCTTATACAATGCCAACGAGGCCTTTCGTCCAATGCCAGGGCTCATCCAGCAGGCTGGAATACGACGGACATACTAGCGATCTAGGCGTTATATGTATACACACACACACACACGTATAAAGTTTTTGTTTGTTTGTTTGTAACTAAGCACAAAGTTACACAATGGGCTCTCTGTGCTCTGCACTCACGACGGGTATCCAATCTCCGTTTCTAGCGCTGTGCCACTGAGTGCATATATATATATATAAGGTAAGTGAATTTCAATCATTAACAATTTTTAATTAATTCATTTACAAATCACAAATAACACAACAATACTCGCCCCCCCCCCCCAGTGGCACAGTGGTATGTCTGCGGACTTACAACGCTAGAAACCGGGTTTCGATACCCGTGGTGGGCATAGCACAGATAGCCCATTGTGTAGCTTTGTGCTTAACTTCAAACAAACAACAATACTCAAAACAAGCGAGTTATTAGTTTCATGTATTTCACCTCATTTTAAAGTTGTGCAGGAGTGCAGTGAATTAATCTGGATAGATTAAGGCTGGAATCTAAATATTGATCTCGAAACGTGTAATCTTGCACTGCTAAATAATAATAAAAATTGAACAAAAGATATTAAAATTAAAGAGAATTTCCTAAACTCAGTTTCGTTTCTTACCGTTAGTAAAAGCTACAAAATCCACCGTTACTCTGTAGTGTTGAAGACTATTTGGAGTGCTTAAGAATTTATATCCATCAGAGGGCCGAGCGCACCTAGTGGCCGAAAAATAAAAAATCGCACTATAAACTTGGGGGCCAGGGGTACCTTATCAAATCACTCTATTCGATTAGGGTAGCTCAAGAATTGGCGGAGGGTGCTATTGACTTGTTGCCTTCCCTTTAGTCTATCACTGCTAAATTAGAGACGAACAACGCAGATAGCTCTCGAGTAGCTTTGCGCAAAAATTAATATATATATATATATATATATATATATATATGCTTGTCTACCATCCTTATTGGTGCATTCTCAGCAATCAGATGTTACATTTCTCCTCTTAGAACGCAATCTTCTACAACGTATTCACTAATCATTGTGTTTAGTTCCGATTTTCCTGAAACAATCAACGGAAACTATCCAGTCAAATTCAGAAATCATCTCGAGCATTTCAAGGGTTTGGAGATCTCCCTGTTATATTTCTTACCCTACATAACTGTAACGTTAAAGAAGCCTGTCAACTTGTGGCGTATGGCTGATATATAGTGTTACCGCTTCATTGTTTTACGAACACGTGCGTGTCTGCCGTTTCCGTCTCGTAAATACAGTTGACGTATAAAATGTTCTCATTATATTTTATACGGTTTCATTCTGTATATGTAACGTTTTACGATTTTCCTAATTCATATAAATGGTTTCATTTATTTCTGAAAAAAAAAAGTGTTTGTTTTACAGCAAAGTTACATCGAGCTATCCGCTGTGTCCACCGCCGGGAATCGAATCCCGTATTTTAGCGTTGTAAGTCCGTAAATTTACCACTTTCCCACCAGAGGACAAAAATAAAAGACTCGCACGCATAAATGGAAAACAAAACTTTGTCCCCAATGCTCTCTACACGAAATAAATGGGGAACTAAAATAAACACGTTATGTTACTTTAAGAATATATATCGCTATTCACAAAAAAAATTGTACTCGAAATAACTTCAGCTTGTATACTATAGTAACTAAATTGTCTAAAAAATCCATACATGTTATGTTCCTCTGTTGAATTAATAAGCTGGTCTAGTAGCCTGAGAAATATATCACACATAAGCTGACTTAGATACGAGCAAGTAACAGTAATGTTTCGAATCAGAATAAGTTAAGAAAACAAGCTGTAACTAGTATTTTCGACTATAGTTCATCACTGGGGGAAAGATAACAATTATTAATACGTCTATAACTTATCGTTTGTTTGTTGTTAATTGCAAAGCTGCACAAAGGTAGAGATCGAACCACGAAGTGTAGTATTATAAGTCCTCAAGGTTTACTGCTAAGCCACGGAGAGACAATAACTGATCATCGGAAGAACCGCCAAGTTTAAAATTATCGTGGACAAAATAGCATTGAAATCTTTTATTTTAAAATGAAAGATGTGATCAGGCCACCTAATGTCAGACATATAAACCCCACACTAGTTAGAGACTAAAAATAATATATTTAAAGGGTATTATATGTAAAATATGTTCGATTAGTCTCTGACTAGTGAAATGTGTGATTTGCATTATGGACTCTAGTAGCGATTGCAAAACACAGAATGTGACTGTAATACATACATGGACATTGCCCTGAAAGGGGTCGGAGCAAGTGAGGTTTACTCCGACCCTCTTGTAGTATTAACACTCCACATTCAAGGACGACCTACCATGGTTCGGAAGGGAGGAAGAGGTCTCAGAGTACCTGACCCTCCTAGGTCACAAAGACCTAAATTCCGATTAGGAGAGAGGATTGAAATCTTTCCAGAACTGATGAATATAAAATATACAATCACACTTGTGACCAATTAGAATTATCCTCTCTATGTCGTAACAGTCAGGGTTAAGGATACTCTCTACAACCAGGATTTTTCACTATTACAATATGAAAGGTACTTTTCTAGGGAGAAGTTCATGATTTCTAGTATCACAAATGTTCTACTTCGGAAATTGACAGATATGGATTTCCGTGAACTTGTTATTGTATTGATGTTTACCAATTGGACATGGGAGTAAAAAAAAAAGTCTGTTTCACGTATTAATGTAAGGCATTTTGGGTCGTAGTATTAAAATATTTACTCGCTAAAAATGCCATGAAACTGTTTCTTTGCCATTTTAGGCAGTGCAGCCAATGTGGGGCAGGAACTTGCAACGGACTTCTCCTGCCTTGTTTCTCGAGATAGACGTTTTATATCCTACCCACAATCATTGGGGTTTAGTAGACAGACATTTCGCCATATTTTAGAACTAATCAAACACAAAATTACTAATGTTTTTTTTATTGAAATGATGAATTAAGAAGCATCTCTAACGTTTAGGGTTTTCATATAGTATTATATCTGGCTTTTGAAGAAACGGGAAATAATTAGGGTAAGAGCAGTCCGTTAGAAGTTTCAACCCTATGCAGCCTATTAGAACCTAGTGGCCCGGTTTCCTGTAACATACCTAGCGTACATGTGTGAGTTTAAGAACAGAAAGCTGTGATAAGACGGACTTTTAATATGTAGCGTTTTATTTATACATTTGTTATTTAAATTTCATATACATGCCCACACAGACTACAGGATTAATTAATATTGAAATATTTCTAACAGTTTTCGTATGTACTCTAAAAGTGGTTTCGAAAGAGATCGGATGTACGGATCATTTTGTAACATTTTTGTTTTCCATACTAAATATGAATTAAAAATTGGTAGATGAAACAATTATATAACTGATACTTTTAACACGTTTTTACGTATTTGATAAACAACCAATCATTACTTTTGTAACGTAACAAATATTTACGCTTTTGATTAACAAATAAATATTTAAAACAGTTGTTACCACCTAAGACCGTACACACACACACTCACAAATAACATTAGGAAAACACAGGTTCAGAAAATCAATTAAAGACAAAAATAAGAAACCAAATTTCAGCCTGTATAGTTCTGAAAACATATAGGCCACTTCGTGGTTAACAAGTCAAACTATACGTACACATATGTGTTTATAAATCCTGATAAGAACCATGTTGAACGCAACTAAAGGCATATACCAGTACACCACCGTATTGATCGGCGGATTCTGCAGCTGGGCAGGTCCACCAACGTAAAAGCAGGGGCCACTGGTTTATTACGAGCACGCTAACAACAGGCAAGGCTGGTGGCATCAAGTCGCCATTGTTTCGCAGTGAAGCCATGACTCCTTCTTGAAGGGTAGGTAATTTAATTAAGTAGATATGATGGTATATCCATTTGTTAATCTTGGAATCTTTTTCAACTTTAAAAACTTGTTAATAGAGTGTACTTGTTATGAAAAAATGCTCAAAATTATGTATGCATACTAGTTGTAGGTTAAAACAGACATATTATGTCAGACAGTGAAGCCTAAGTCCTGCTCAAAAAATTGCGGAGTTTTTTAACTCATACCTTTAACCTGCAAGTCAGGTAAAGAATTTTAAACAATTGGAAAATATATATTATTCGCATTATTTATACTATGCATTGAAAACAAGTTAATACAACCTTGGTTACATAATGTCAGAACGATAATAACAAGAAAAGAAGGAATATGTCAATAGCGTTGTGTGCTTCTCGCAAAGAAGCATTTAACGCTTTTTAAATCAAATAAATAAATGAACAAATCAAAAAATTCCAATTGCTTTCAGAAGTATGTGACAGTAAGATTTTTACAGCGTACTACATTAAGTTAGTAAATTTCTTACTTACTGTTTCTGATTTACTGTTATCAAATATATACAAATATTAGCTTATGAAGATTGAAGAACTTTATAATAAACTTGTCTATATAAACATACAATCTTATTTTCACAGCTCTAAATCCTACGCAATAAGCCTGTATGTTGGGGAAAGCAATGTTAATATAGTTGATTGGTCGACTAATTAATTGGGTTTCAAAAGCTTTTAGTACTTTTCTTCTACTATAATGCGTAACACGGAACTGTCTTTTATATTAGTTTTAATAAAGAACTTGTAATCCCTTTTTCATGCAGGAACGCGTAGCAGAGATTTTGATAAAATAATTAGAATCCCCTTTTCAGGAATGTGTAACTGTTTGTTTGTAGTTAAGCATCACCGGTATCGAAACCCGGTTTTTACCTTTATAAGCCTTAACACTGAACGGGGAACCACTGTGAGTTATGTGTAACAAAGCTGACTTTTAATAAAAGTTGGAATCTCTTTGTCAGGAGTTCGTAACAGAGTCCAGAGGTACAGTTTTTGATTAGATTGTTTATTTTTTTGTTTGACTTTATTACAACAAAAGTTGACGTTTAATAAAATAATTGGAATCCCTTTGTCAGGAATGCGTAACAGAGCTGAGGTTTAATAAAATAATTGGAATCCCTTTGTCAGGAATGCTTAACAGAGCTGAGCTTTAATGAAAGAATTGGAATCCCTTTGTCAGGAATGCCTAACAGAGCTGGGGTTTTATAAAATAATTGGAATCCCTTTGTCAGGAATGCGTAACAGAGCTGAGGTTTAATAAAATAATTGGAATCCCTTTATCAGGAATGCGTAACAGAGCTGAGGTTTAATAAAATAAATGGAATCCCTTTGTCAGGAATGCGTAACAGAACTGAACTTTAATGAAATAATTGGAATCACTTTGTCAGGAATGCGTAACAGAACTGACTTTTAAAAAAAGAAGTTGGAATCTTATCAGAAGTATTTAAAAGACGCCATCGTAATTAACAGCCCAAGTTTGTTTGTAATTAAGCACAATGCTGCACAATGGGTTTCTGGCGTTGTAATTCAACAACAGCCGCTGTGCAACTGGGGTACTAATAGTCCAAGCTTTTCGTTTAGTAACTGCGATGCCATTTTCTGCGTTCTAGTTAACTCTTGGACTATTAGTACCCCTGTGGCACAGCGGTTGTTTGTTGAATTACAACGCCAGAAACCCATTGTGCAGCATTGTGCTTAATTACAAACAAAAATGTGTTTTTTACCCAAATCAACAACACATTCCTACAAAAACTTGATACTGAAATGATTTGCTGTAAGAACACCTCTTTGTGTGTTTACAGTTTCATAATAATCAATAAAACGTACAGATCAAAATAATATAGATTATGATACATTGCTATAGACTTCTATCTATGGCAGATACTTAAAATGTAAAAATTACATTATATGAAACTTTTTTTTTTTATCTTTCTCTACACGCTCTCTCTTTACAAAAGAATATTTTATACATAAACCTTTTCAAGCCTCTGAAGCATGTAGAATTAGACTGAGTTACTATTATAGCTTTATGAAATTATCTACGATGTTCAGCTGTTGAAGAACACACATATCGTTCTGTGAAGATTACGCAAAGCTGAGTGTGAACTTGAACTTTACGTTTGTACTATTAAACACAAAACACCACAATTACAGAACAAAATAAAGAAAACTATTGTACTGTATATTTCGGGCAACCTTTAAAGTACTGTGATATCTCCCACCACCCCTCTACCTCTTCACTGTTTTTTGCTCTACCACCATTTGTTTGTCTAATTTGCGTATATCCAGCAGGGATTTCGTATATTGTCTCCTGCCATTCTGTCTATGCTTCAGTCGGCATCAAATCTGCTTGGATGGATGGAATGACGTCACGCTAGTCGCGTGTTGGCGCGTGCCATGCTCTAGGCGCACGTGCCCCGCATGGGAACCCGCCATTGTCGTTAAGTATTAACCGACACTGAGGTTCGAGCGAGATGAAAATGCGGGTATATAAGGAGGGAAGGTGGTGAAGAGTCTTGCATGTAGGGTTTAACGTTATTGTATCATGGTTGCAAAAAAAAAAGGACCCGGATGTTGTATTGTAGACACTGTACCAGGCTGTACAGATGAAAATATGGTAAAGACACTTTGTTAGCCCGACGAAGCAGTCGGTTGGGCAGCCAAGGGGTGTTCGGGTTTCACCACCAGACATATATTACTAAAAACAACATAGCTCAATTGGGTTACGGAGATGAGTTGCGTCAGGAAACTGATGTTACTTCTATTTTTTTTTCATCAACAGCTCAACGAACTATCTAGAAAAGGTGTAATGCCACTCCGGCTCAAGATGAAAGGTAATTTATGACTTGCTTTTTGTTGATTGTGATGTTTTTTTGGTTGTTTATTTGTTTTAAATTGAATATTAAGTAAAATAAACAAGAGGGAATCCCCAATAGCCGCGGCACTTGAAGTTTTTAGGCAGGATTTAGAGTAAATTAATCTAAGAGACCTTTTTCTTTCCCCTTTTTTATTAACTATATTTTTGTGCGTTAGTAATAACAAGCGTGGGGTGCGCGTATACCCAATTAGATTTTATTACTCATCAGGATCTCTACCAGCCTACCCTCAAATTGAAATTCTTTTAGGCGGGATTAGAGTAAATTAATCTATGAGACCTTGGACTAGTCAAATTATCAAACGAGAGGGTTTGACCTCCCGAGTCCAAAACTGTAATTAGATCTCAGGTCGGTCAAGATATAACTGAGCTATGAGCTAAAAGTTTGTACTTGGAAAAACAAAAACCAACAACTCAGAGCAGTTATGCCGCGGCTAAAAATACTTTTTGATTATACATTTCCCTCTGTTTATTCCTCAAGAATTTGCAAGATATTATAAAAGACAAAATTAACTGTGAAAGTGATAAAAGCAATGAAAAATATTGATTTCTTTATTTAATATTGTTTTTTCTAATATATTTTAACCAGTTAGAATCGTCTCTCATTTCTAACGTATTCTTGAAAGGTTTTTTTTTTGTTATTGATTTTTAGTATCTATTAATATTTCAATTCATAAATTTAGACTGTTTTATAACTGATGACTTTGATAAGGCGAAGTTTATAGTCGACGTTTTATCATTTGAGCCACGAGGTGTCGTCATAACTTCTTGTTCGAATTAGTACAAGTTTATCAAGATCGTAGTGTATTATTATAAGTTTGAACTTCGCCCGGTATTTATATATTGATGACAATAAATTTACAGTAATACGTCTGCCGTTTACATTAGAAATTAATATGAACCAAATTCAATAGCTTCGTAAGTTTATGTGTTTCGCATTTCCACGTAAGCCTAACCTGATTTAAGCATTTCGAGGTTTCTGGAACAGAATACGTCTACCGTTTACATTAGAAATTAATATGAACCAAATTCAATAGCTTCGTAAGTTTATGTGTTTCGCATTTCCACGTAAGCCTAACCTGATTTAAGCATTTCGAGGTTTCTGGAACAGTGGAAGTATCGCTTCCCCAGTATCTTTGAGGCTAAACGAAAATTACATGTTACTATACTTCCATAAAGATTATTTTTCCAACATGAGTTTAACATTCCTTTTACGTGTCCATATTTCTTCATACCAGTGTTCTCTCTCTCTCTCTATTATTATACACATACACACAGTGAAGTCACAAGTAACTGTACGCTTCTAATCTTCGTCTCAAGTTCAACGCTGTTGATGATATCAGTACAAGGGTTATTTTAAGGTTACAAAGACATTATAACACGTGATATAAGAATATTAAATACACAAACCCTCTGTCCAATAGAAACTTGTATATAAATGATACTTTGCAATTGACAGACCAAATTTTCGTCGTGGAAAAATGTGTTGACCTCAACTTTGCGTTTTTTTTTCTATATTCAAGACATTGGGTTATACAATACGTTTCACATCTCAGTTGTCTCGATGCAGTAAATAATCTCCCTTATACACACTATAGAATCCAGTTTCTATACCCCAAAATACAGAATTTATTTAACCAACTTTACTGCATATAGCTGCAGGAGTATTTTAGTTTTTTTTTTTTTTTTGCTTAATGGACTTCATTTTCAATGGTGGCAAGGCTTACGCTCATTCCAAATCGCACAGTCTTGTTCGACTGCTGAACTTAGACATTTGAGAATTATTTTTTTTATATTTAAATTTCACATTCCCACACCATCCATGATCTGAATTTTTAAAACATAATAAACGTTACGGTTTCGAGTTACTGAGATAGGAAGTTTTTTTTTTTCCAAATTTACTAATGACATGTGCGTTTAGGTAATCAAACAAGTCTCTTCTTTTGCGGATGCGTCGTAAAATAACCAAAACTCCCTAAAAACGTTACCCTCGGGTTTGTTTTCTTCCACTCCTTTTATTCTTAGCTACACATTCAAACTCAGACCACGTGCTACTGCGTTTGGCCAGTTGGTTGTGTGTCGAAGCGATAAATATAGGATACTTGGACGATAAATTGTCTTAAGTACAAGAAATGAATAAAATAATAAATATCAGGTCCTAGTACTTAATTCAAAATCGTTATAGTTTTTACGTGTAAATATATTTTTCTGAGTTAAAGCGCTTGAATTATGACCCAAATGGACTTCCATATTTCTTTAGTACAGTGGCGTAAAATGTCTAACAATTCTAGACGAACGTGTCTTGATAAGAAAAATGTTTCTCAACCACAGACGTGTAATACGGTCTTTTTATGATAAGATTGTCATAAATTATGAAGTTTTTATCATTCACAGCCGTTTACTTACTGGCAAATAGAATAGTTTCGATAGGCCTACTTAAATTGTATTATAAAACAATATAGGTTTAATACACGCAAGAACGTAATGTAGATTTTAGTGATTAAAACGCTAAATATGTTAATGTTGGTTAGTGCAGACGTATGTCAGGAGTGTGGTGCAGGTATTTCTATGTCTTGTTTATTTGGGTAATAATGCGGGTTTCAGAAAACATTATCTCACCATTCCAACTATACTGTATTGGTTAGCACTGCAACCCGCATCATTCTGAAAGTCAACGAAACTGGAAAGTTTGTTGGAAAGTAATTCGAGTTTATGTTTCGTATGTTTCACAACCTCAGATTAGGAGGAAAATAAGTATGTAATTTTTATATGCTAGAATATTGTGAAATATCCCACAATACAAGTGAACATGCCCGCCTGAAAAATATAAATGATAATATGTTGTGGATATCACACAATATAACATAAAATGTCCGCGTTTAGGTTATATCAACTAATTGCGAAATACGATAGTGGAATGCTTTTGAAACGTGTTGTCTGTCGATCTGTTAGTGTTAACTTACCGAAACTACTCGTTTCAGAAAGAAACAACATGAATTCATTTATAAGAGATTATAATGTTCGAAATTTTATAAAAAGTATAATAATGCAGTCTGCTAGGGAGTATTAGGCAATCGAATAAATAATTTTTAAGTTTTTGGGTAATTCAAAAGATCGATAAGATTTAAATTTATGAAGAGCTTGAATAAAAAAATAAGCGTCGGATCTGTAACATCAAGAATGCTGCGATAGTATTGGACAGCTAGTTGTCTGTGTACAGTTTTCTGGAGTTTTCGTTAAATTTAGATGTGGACGTTAATACAGATGTGCCCACTATGTTATGCATACAATGTGTCTGGCAGATGGCATGCCACGTAACCTATCACTATAAGGAGCAATAGGGACGAAAAACCGTTGGGGGAGAATACATATTGCACAGAGGGAGCACTATTGGGAACCACCTGCACAACTCCAGCCAAACTACTAGTAGCACTTTCCCAGCCCCTAAGAGCTGCGTCACAGTTAAGGGACACGAACCCATGGAACGACCAGCTGATTCGCCGAAGAAATGTACTTAGGTAACAGCTGTCCCAGCTGGCCAATTTTTGTTGTTGTTGTATTGGTATCGCACAAGGGATTTCGACTAGCGCGTGCCTTATTTTTCACGCTGGTCGCGTGCGCCTACACCCCTCTTTGCTCGAGTAGGACCATAATGGGAGTGAATAACGGTATAGTAAGGTGGTATATGAATAGTTTTAAATGTGTTCTGGGACTGAGAACAAATGTTTTTCGCCTTTGTTTTCTAGTGCTCGACGTTTCAACGATTTTTTGAAATATTACCTTAGTTTCTCTACGTCTCGTAGATCCTGAAAAACACACCACACATCCCTTGTAGTATACTTATTTTGTTTTCACTAGTTACGTGGTTTACAGTTTGAATACTTTAACGTCTTGTATATATATTTTTTTTCTCTGAACAAATATAACTAACGTGTATTACTGAGTTCACATCCTATAGACACGCGTATTATGAACCGAGAAAAACAGCAGGCCCTATTATTGTGTTTAGGATCATTGGGGTCTAGAGTGTGGGTACCTATCTGATTAAACAATGCATTCTAATCTTTAAGTATAAATATTTAATAACAGTAGAATATTTAATTAGTTATACTCATTAAAGTTTCCCAACGAGTGGACTAATTACACTATGTATAACATAGACCAATGCGTGATAATCGGACATTTTTACACATTAATTATAGGAAACATTTGTGATAATACATAAAAACATGAATAATGCACATGATTACTCGGTTTTTACAATGGTTTTATAATCTGAATAAAACCATTTCTGTGCTAGAAAACTAAACGAATCCGCGGTTTTAGCTGTTTTATTTGTACTTCTTTAAGTATCATTATTATATTTTTAACATCATAGTGCTAGTAGAACTGAGAACGTCGATTTCGGGCTTCAGTTTAAATATCGACAAACACTCCTTTATTCGGAGGCTCTAGCCAAGACTTAAACATGTAGAATAGACAGGAACGTCACATTCACTTAGGACATGAGTGCACGTATAAGTATGTTGGACTAAACTAATGGTCTTAGATTAGCTTGTTTTGTTTTTTTGTTTTTTTATATAAGTGTTAATAATTTTCATTTGTTAGAATCAATGTAACCCTTCCAACAGCAGTAAATTAATAAACAACTAAAGAATATTTTAAAAGAACATGCTGACCTAAGATCACCAGTTAAGTTCCATATACTTATACACGATCTAGGTGAATGTGACGTTCCTGTCAAATATAATTTGTTTAAGATTTTGGCCAATGATGAACTGACGCCCGAGAGCAGCGTTCTCAGTTGCGCTATCACCGATCTCCAGTTTTTAGAAAGCAGTTGAGGTTTTATGAGTTATAGATGGTGGTGTTTCCTACCACATTTAGAACTTTGAAATATGGTTTGTCCTTAATAATGCTCAAATAATCGTAAGACCAGAAAAAAAAGAGATAAATAAT